AGTCATCAACCAGTTCTATAATGGGCTCATGCCTTTGTGAGGTTAGAGGCATTATAGCATTTGTTGTTGTTCTGAATGAAAGGATTCCTTGAGCCTTTTGGAATATAAACGGGCCTACGTCAATATCATAATACCTCGCATCTATGAAGTTAGTAGCTGCTGTGAATGCCTTGTCTTCAGCCTGGACTACTTCTACCTCCTCTCCTTTCCACATAAGAAGCATTTGGTGCAGTAAAGAGGGTACGCGTTTATTGGCATGGATCTAATTCTGTCCTAGGAGGGCCTGGCATTGTGCTGTGGCGCTGATCATGAAAAAGGCCATTAGTGATGACTTGGTCCTGACATCAACCTATAATGGTAGCATGCTGAGGACCTTAGATGCGGTCCTAATGAACTCTACAACTGATACCTTAGTCAGCATCAGATCGTGCTCCTCTTATCCCATCTTGATCATCATGTGGGTTGGCAAAATATTCATTGTCGAGCCATTATCAATGAGGACTTTAGTCATTGGTCTCCCATCGAAATATGCCCTAATATATAAAGGCTTCAAGTGCTGAGTCATCTTCACATTGGGTTTCTCCAGGACAGTCTGCTTTAATTTTCCTTTTATTGCTTGCAAAGTAATTTGGTAGACGAGCTCTGCAATCTCTTCTTTTTGTGCCTGCGTGCTTATAGGCTCATATTCTTCTTCTTCTCTTGGCTCCATTGGGCAATACTGATACAGGCCTATCTATGTCAGCCTCGAGGAGTTCTGTTTCTACTGGCCCTGGGTATTGCCGGCGGTGGATTGGAATTAAGAAGGTAATGTTAATGATACCACACAATAGAGATTGAGCGATATCTCTCTAACATGAATGGTCCCATTTTTTTTATTTTTGGCCTCGCTTCCTTCGTCCTAATCCTCGGTGGACTTCCTTCTGAACTTACTAGCCTCCTGATGAATGTTGGGGCTATCCTGTACCTTAATTTTTTGCTATTCAAGGTCCCTCTGTGTAGCCTATTTTTATTGAAGACATCGCTTCTAGGTTCTTGCCAAGGTAGTTGGGAATTTTTTTTGCTTTATAACTCTCCATTTCAAAAGGAGCACATTGTCAGGCAGCGTATCGAACCTGCCCAAGCCTTTAGCAACTTTTAGTAACGGTAGGCCGTCGAGGCCTATATCCCAGCCTGTTGGTGTCCTCATGTATGGTTTGCCTGATCCAGGGGTTGTTGAGTACTCTACAAAGAAGTCAAATTTGCCAGATGGTTCCCCTAGGCGGTCCCAAACCACCTTAGATCCATCTGGTTCTATCATCACTAATCCCCTGGGGCAACATCCCATCCTGAAGGTCATTTACGATTTTTCTTCTTTTTTCTGCTGACTATCTCCATTTTGGGTTTCTCCCAAGCAGTCCCAAACTACTTTGGAGTCATCCAAGCTTTTCATGTTCTGCCCTTCCGAGCCGATGTCCCATTTAGAGGACCTGTTCTTATTGGACCAACTTATAGGCTTCCCCAAGTGGTCCTATGTTGTCTTAAAGTTTTTTTGAGTTACTTTACTTCTATTCCAGATGTTCCAAGGTCTCTCATCCTTCTGCTTACCATCACTTTTCTTGAGCCGTTGTTTGCTAAAGGTTATCTCCACCATGTTGATCATAGCAAATAGGGGAAATCGATCCTCGTCTACCACCATAGATTTTTCCTGAAGGAATTTCAGAACTCCTTTGTTGATCCGATCCTGGATGACGTTCTTGAATCTCCAGCACGCCTTGGTGCTGTGGCTCCACGGGTGATGATACTTATTGTATTCCTTCCCTCTTTGTTCTTCCTTCGAAGGAATCTTATGATCCATAGGTAGGGAGATGAAGTTTTCCTTGAGGAAGAAATCAAAAATTTCCTCTATTTTAGTGGTATCAAAGGTGTACTAGACTATGTTTGGTCTTTTGGGCAGTTCTCCGACCTTCCTTACAAGAGCCAGGCATGTGTAGTTACCAGCATTCTTTAGTTCTACTACCGCTACGTCCAAGTCCCCAAAATAGGTCCCAGCTGTAGTCCATCAGTGATGATCCTCTTCCTTGAGTAGTTCCTCATAAACCCATTCTTTAGTTACGAGTTCATAAAAATCTCAAAATTCCATCCCATGAAATTTCTTTCAGAGCTCTATATCCAGTCCTGCCTGTGCTAGCTTGACAAATTTAATTCTGGAAGCAGCATGTGGCACCCGCTCCTCAAATGTTTGAACCTCACCAAGTATTGATCTGCTGTCTCTCCAGCCTGTTGTTTAAGCTTGCAGAGTTCTGCCATGCTGACTTCTAACTTTGCTTTATAGAACTGGATGTAGAACTTCTACTCCATCTCCATCTAGCTGATAATTGAATTATGAGGTAGTGACGTATACCATGTGAATGCCAGGCCTGTAAGAGTATTTAGAAATAACCTCAGCTTCAAGTTAGTAAAATTCTCATAATTAGCAATCTTTCCATACTGGATTGTGAACCTCCCAATGTGCTCTAGGGTTGACTATATCCTGTCTCCTAAGGACAATATGAAGCCAAGGATTTTGTACTCCTGAGGGTATGAGATGTCCTTGGCTATATACTCCGGATAAGGTTTTAAGAAGGTGGGGCGACCGATTGGCCTCAGACCTAGTTCATATATATCTTAAATGGCATCCCTTAGGGCCTCCATGTTCACAAGTTAGTTCTGAGGCTCAATCGAATGTTATGGGATCATCGCCGTGTCCCCCAAGCCATTCGTGCCAGGTTCCAGGCTCTCGTAAACAATATGTTAAAGGATGAGTATGTGAAAATATTTAGGTGTTAGGGATGTCTCTTACAAGTGTGTGGCCTTAATGGCCAGCACCTATATTGACTCAAGCTTGTTGCCCTCCAAGCGGCCTTACACTTGAGCCTGCTTCCAGATAGGTGCTTCTTAATGATGCGACTATGTTCCTCATGCCTTCATGCAGAGCCTGCATCATGATCTGTTGTCATTCTTTCTCCCTGCGTTCTGACATTTCCAGGGATATTGTAAAAAACCTTTGGTTCTCTTCCAGCTGCTTATCCATTCGGTCTTGAATTTCCCATAACACTTCTGCCACAGGTTCGTTGGATATGATCAGTTGGTTGGGTTGGCCACTTCTTGACTTTAAGTCAGGGCTTGTGCTGCTGCTACCTGTTATCACCGATACTACATGATCACAATGTTCAGCTGCTCCAGCATCGGGTAATAAGTGTTATGATCCTGCATGCGCAGAGATCCCTTTTGGTTCGTGAAAACTAGCACCTGTTTCATTAGTCTTTTTATCTTTTCACGTCCTTACCATCTTTGTTACACAAGTTCTACTGGGTGTGCCACAAATTGTTTGTGGTTTAACAATAAATACCAGGCGTGCCAGATATATTTAATCTCAATAGATAACAAAAAGGGTCTCGAGTTCCTTTACCATAGTTCGTTCAGATGTAAAAAGATAAAAGACTTTGGTAGAACTAGTGTATAATTTTATTGAAGTGTAGAAAATTACAGACTAAAAACTAAAAACTGAAAAGGGCTAATGAATGTAAAATATACGAGTCTTGATTGAATGTTGATTAGCCTTCTCTGTTTTTCTTCTTTTTATTTATAGTGTCGAATAACAAAAGCCTTTCCCTTAGGACTTAACATATTTTGCCAAAGAATCATGAATCCCATGAAACTTATGGCACGGTCGCTTTATTTTGATAACCAATCCCTTTCACCGAACCACTTGGGCATAGATTTCAACATTACTTAGAGTCGTGTCTTCGTGCCAATGGTATGATATTTGAAGCTAATGAGATTTCGGCATGTTTACTTGTTATAGACTTTATTGAGATTCAGGGCCGGCCCTTTTTGTTTATATTGAGCCTGATGCTTCGACTACTCAGCCTAACTAGCCTTGTGACCTATTTAAGTGATGTTTCATATTTAGCCCAAACAGTATAAATATTTTCAGGTAGTTTCACCAATGACTAAAATGATTTAAGAAATCACAATTTTCTATCAGCAATTTTTTCACAAAACAAAGTCTAACTAATTTTATGTGGTTCATAAGTTTGACAGAAATATTTGCAAGTTTGATTTTACCAATAACTAAAACGATTTAATGAATCATAATTTTTTATCAATAAAATTCAATTAATTTTATATCGTTAACAAGTTTGATACAAGTAGTTGTAAAAGATTTTATTAACAACTAAAATAATTTAGAAAAGCATAACTTTTTAAATTATATAAAAGTACTAAAGTAATTTCATATAAAAATTTAATTGAAAAAAATTCTCTTAAGATTTTACTATTATTATCATAGTTTGTGATACCGAACTGTACATTTCTTATTTTAGAGTGTTGTCAATCTTCCTATATTTTATGTAATGTGATGAATATATTATAAATTTTTTCTTGAAATCATGTTTATAATTATAATAAAATTGCAAGTATAATCCCCAAAAAAGAACAGAAAAAGGAAAAAGAAAAATAGAGTAATAAACAATGAAAGGATTGGGGAAAAAAGGATTAATGAACAAATAGGACTATGAATTATTATTCAAAAATTATCCTAAATGTTAAAATTTTAAAATATATAAAATAAATTCTAAAATTTTTAAATTTATAGCAAAATAAACCCTAATTATTAATTTTTTAATACTATTATTGTTTGCGCAAGTATAGGGTTTATTTTTTTATAAATTTAATCCTAACTGTTACAGTACTCTCATGAACAGTAATGATATTAAAAAAGTTAACAGTTATTTTATTATAAATTTAAAAATTTAAAATTTATTTTATATATTTTGAAAATTTAAAATTTAGAATAATTTTTGAACAATAACTCGGAGTCGTATTTGATCATTAACCAAAAAAACAAAAGAAACTCTGAAAGGAGATAACCAACGACGTCGTACCATGGTAATGGAGGTTCTTACCATGCAGTGGTGCACAGGTCGCACGGCGTGTTTGACTGCTTTCAATTGAAGTATTAACCGATAGCATTTTTTCTTCTTCCCCAGTAAAATATATAGGGATAGCAGCCGATGCAGACGTCTTTGCCATTGAGCAAAGCAATTTCAGTTCACAGATCGGTGCAGCGCCTACACAGATTAGATCGAAGAAAAGAGGAAAATGGGGACCGATGAAGTATCGTTAGACGATAAAGCTAAGCGAACGAGAGATCTTCTCTCCAGTTTCTACTCTCAGGACCCTTCCGTGCCGTCCAACTCCAGCATTGGGTCGTCAAGATCCCTCACTCTTGATGACATCAATTCCACCTCCTTCGATCCTGATCACTACATGAATAACCTGGTAATTCTCGTTCTAATTGAATCTATAAATCCACCCCCAGGGGGGAATTTTGAGGTCGAAATTGAACTCTTAGGCTATTGCGAGTTTTTGTAACGGTAGTATGAGTTTGAAGTTGGCGTACGGAGTGGCTGATTCTCTTGTGCATTTATCATGCGAATTATGAAGGTACAAAAGTCGAATTTGGAAGGCCTGCTCCAGAGGCATGTTGAAATGGCGGCTGAAATTAAGAATCTTGACACTGACCTGCAAATGTTGGTCTACGAGAATTATAATAAGTTCATCAGCGCCACAGATACAATAAAGAGGTTTCCTTTTTTCTAACTATTATTCCTCCTTTATGCGCTGCTTATTATTTTTCTAACTTCTGCTTCTTTTTTGTGGGGAAATGACTGCTTACGAACTTTTGATACATGAGTTACATGACATACCATTTCGAAATCGCGCCGTCTACACTGCCGTTCAAATGCTCATACAAACTTCCTTTCTCTTTCTCCTTAAAAAAAAAAAAAAAATCCTCCCTGTTTTTGGCGTGTATACCTTGCGTTTTCAATGACTTGGTTCATATGTTTCTTCACAAAATGTGTGATACAATTTGTTTGCCAAACAGGATGAAAAGTAACATTTCCGGGATGGAAGCAAATATGGAACAGCTTCTTGAGAAGGCAAGCGCAGCATTAATTTTTCAATCTTGGTTTACTTGTTCTTTTTGAAAAATCAAAACATAAAATGTTTTTGATGGAATCCTATTTTTATCTCCTATGCAGATAATGTCTGTGCAATCAATGAGTGATATTGTTAACACTTCTCTTTATGAGAAAAGAGAGCATGTAGAGAAACTACATCGGACTTGCAATCTTCTTCGTAAAGTTCAGGTATTAAAGCAGCAACACAACTTTCTGGCAGCATGCATTGGCATTGTTACACACTGAAATATTTATTCTGGGTTAACGCTTGGCATTAGCTACTAGTCTCTCCTCTGTAACTGAGCATGCTCCCCCCCCCCCCGGGGCCCGGGGAGAGCCTTCTTATATATTTTGAATATCCCTTGGAGTTATAATATAACAAAAATAACCTCAAGAATAAAATTAATTTCTTTTCTTCAATTGTGCAGTCTTAAAATATCATTCTGTGAATATATTATTTTTTTATAATTTTATTATTTATTCAATGATTTTAAAATTTGCTATATTTAAAAAATTCACCATGTTATGTTGATTAAAATGATTTAATATTTGTTATATTATATAATAGGTTATTGGGCATTGTAATCAAAATAAGTGTAATTGTGTTTTTCTAATTATTATTATGGGTGCAGAAGAGATAATCTAATGCATCTTTGACTATAAGGGAGGTTATTATATAATTTCAAAACAAAGGAGAGCACTGGGTAATTTAGGCATCCCCCAATGAGAGGAAGAGTAATTTACTCCTTGGTTATGTTGGGGAGTTTAGAAGAGAATTGTGTGGAGTAAAAAGGCAAGGAGTCGAGCAGAAAGAAATATGCCTTTTCCATTGTCTGAGAATTTACTGGCGGAAGGGCGTGAATCATCAATGGAATGGAATGTTTTTTGAATTATTTTTTCAATATTGCATTTATCAAGAATGTGATTCTGGGAAGTTTTTAATGAAGGCGGATATAATATAATTGTACCACCTGTCCATTCCATTCCTTCCAAAAGCCCCCAATATGGAGGAACCAAAAAAAAAAAAAAAGGTTGGTTTTGAGTAGCTAGGAAGGGTGTTGGAGTCCCTTGTTTCCTATTTCATGTCATTGCAGAAGAGTCTCATAAAGAAGAGGCTACCCCAAATTGACCATTCAACTCCTTGCCATCCATCCTTGTAATCCATCCAAACATAATTTTTAAAATTTTGATAGAAGCATATCAGTATTTGCAGTATGCTTGTTTACGTTGATTCTAGATGTTTGGGCCTATGACTAACACGCTTTTCACCTTGGTGTAAGAGCAGTTCATATATGATCTACCTGATAGATTAAGAAAATGCATCAAATCAGAGGCCTATGCTGATGCAGTCAGGTTCTTCACTGGAGCAATGCCAATCTTTAAGGTTGTGCGGGGCTGGCATGTCAATTCAATCCATTCCCTTGTTTTTGTTTACATTTAGCAATTATTAATTTCTTCAGAAGTAACGTTAGCATATATTTGTCACCTGAAAAATTGGCACATGTTTCTCATGATGTATAAATCTGTTGCTTTGATGAAACGACTCTTGTTTTTGTTTTCCTCGCGGCAGGCATATGGAGACTCATCATTCCAAGATTGCAGACAAGAGTCTGAAAAAGCAATCGCTATCATAATAAATAATTTGCAGGTACAGTTAGTTCTCCTTATTCTATCAGGCTTTCTGTGCATGTGTCAAAACATAAGCTGAGAGACAATTTTGAATGTTTTCATGTATTGCTTGATATTGCAACATTCATGTTCCTTATAATCTTTAGGATTATTCAGTATTCAATTTACTAATCCTTTTCTTTTTGAGATAAGGTACTCAAGCTGTGTTTCTGATTCTACTATTTGATGGTAATTCCATAAGCCTGATTTCTCTTCATTGGTTGTTGGCATCTGGCCCATGTAAATAATCCATTGCTTATACTTTAATATCATCGATCTTTGGAGCTACGACAGTCCTGGTCCAACTAATGTCATTTTTGCTGTAAGGTCTGAGCTATGGTGTTGAGTAGAATTGTTTATGAGAAATCCTCCTGTCAGCAGCTGAGTAGAATTTCATTGATGTGGAATGTCCTGGAATTATAACACGTAGTGGACTTTGGTTTCTTTGCTGTTCTTCTTGGATTTGGAAGACAAAAATTAGATATAATGGTTAAAATAAAGTAGTTGAGGGATTTTCTAAAGTCAGTCTGTAATTATTTATACTCTGTCAACATTAATATTGTAAATTCTGCTATTTCATTTGGGCTGATTTTGAATTTTTAAGGAGAAGGGTATACCATCCTGTCCTTATCTTCTTCATTTTGATTTAAGAGTTTTTAAAAATGCAGTGAATTTAGAAACTCATGATATCATCCTGAATTCGAAGCTGACAGTCATTGTGTTTCTGAGAACTGAGAAGCTTGTCACCAGATTTGACTTTTTTCTCTATAACCAGGGAAGGCTATTTTCTGATTTGGAATCTATGCAAGTGAGATCTGAGGCTGCAGTGCTCCTTAAGCAGCTGGACTTTCCGGTTTGTTACCCTTTTTCTGCCTCCTCAAAATTGCATTTAACATTGTTGCAGCCAAGCAGATATTTCTTTTTCTTCATACTACTCTTCCACTCCTCCCAATCACCTCCCTCCCTCAATGGAATAACCCATTTAACATCTTCTGAGTTCTAGAGGAAAATTACTGCCAAGGCATGTTAGGGGTGGGTTGGTGCGTGTGTGTGTATTTTGTTTTTTAAATCAGCTATCATCGGAAAATTTATGATTAGAAAGTTGAACCTGCTTTGGCCTTGCATTTTGCTGAGAATTTTGAAGATCAGCTGTGGGAAGGAATAATAGTATATTAAAGTATGCACTATTCAGGGCCTTATTCATATTCGTATGTGGCATCTTTCTATTACTGGCAGGTGGAAAATTTGAAGGCAAAGCTACTTGAGAAGTTGGAACAGTCTATTACTGACATTCATCTGAACCCGGAAGAGATAAACAAGGCTCCAACGGATCCTTCTCCTTTTGCTTCTGCTCATGAGGTTAGAAGCATGATACATCAAGCACCATAGTAGAAGTATTCTGCTGTTCAATATCATTTTCTCCCCATTAAGATGTTATTGCTATCCTATCTTTGGCTAGATAAGATATTCAATTTTAGTACACATACTTGTAGTGGTTGATACAGCTATTACTAGTGACATGTTATGTGTTTGGACCTTGGACTTCGCTTTTCCTTGCTATTTTTTGCCTTCCAGCATTAATATGTGCAAATACATGTGTCTTTCTCTTTTTTTAATATAGGCACATGTTCGAGAGTTTGTGGAGGCAGTTCGTGCTTTTCGAGTAATATTTCCTGATTCAGAAAAGCAATTGAACAATCTTGCTCAAGACTTGATTACCAAGTTTGTAGCCTCATCTACAGCTTGAAGTATCTTCACCTCCTATACAATTTTCATCTTATATACAATTTTTTTGATGAAATATTCTTAGGAACTTTATAATTACCGAGGAATATGTAAAGAGACGAATTTGTGCAGCTGATCTACTTGGGATCTTACGTGAGTAGTATGATTCTTTTAATACTCCAGTGTTTCTCTGGATTTCAGCTTGATTTCTAAAACTTAATGTTTTGTGTAGTCTCGCCTTGAGTATGAGTCAGTGGCCTTTGACTAAGTCTCTGGCGTGATATATGATTAGTTCTTCATTTCAACAATCATATCAATTTTTTAACAATTTTTTTATAATTATAATTATTAAAAAAAGGGGGTGGGTGTTGAGAATTTTTCTTTGAAGCATTCACACAAACCTGTCATTCTCTTGTGTGTATAATTACATACAATGCATGGCATGTGGTGGGAGTAGGACATGGTGAGAATTGGACATTTACGTACTAGTAGCACAAGAATTATGAGATTAGAATTAGGGTTATAAGACAGGCTCGAATGCCTTGAAGACAAATAGAGAGAGGCGGAGGTGAGGAAATTTCTTTGGAACACTTACAATCTGACACATACTATTCAATCTCTCGCGTTGATAATTATATTAAAACATATGTCACGGTTAACATTGAAATTACAGTACATGTAGTAGCAGGGATTTGACCCAAACTAATTATTATGAATATGCCATGCTTAGCTAATTTGACTCTCAGATTGATTAAAAGAGAAGGTTATTGACTCCTACTCAGAAGGCTCATGTAACTATTGATCAGATCATTTCTTCTTGATTGCATCTATGGAATAGTTTTCCCCCCATTTTGTGAATTTACATAATTGTTAATGTCTCCTCTAAGTGCTGAAACTACAAGCATCTGTTTAATTTTGTATTGTGATTGAGACTTTGTAGTATGGGATATGAAATCACACATTGAGTAGTATGGGGGTATTCAATTAGATATTTAAGTGGGCTGGTTCTCCCATCTCAACAATTAGCTTTTGGGGTAAGATTATTCATCCCACTTAGATGCCCATCAATTGATATTAAAGTCTAGTTGTTGGCAGTTCCAAGGAGTACTACCTATGGATGGTTTCGATCGGTAGGAGGCCTAGTTATATGGGATACCAAATCCAACATTGAATGGTATAAGATGTTCAATAGGATATTTAAGTGAGTTGGTTCTCTCATCCAACAACTAGCTTTTAAGGTAGGCTTCTCCATCCTACGTAGATATCCATCATTGTGCTTCTGAATTCCTTTTTACTTCGATGGAATGGACATTTAGTAACCCCCTTTCAATGATGTGAATCATGACCTTAATGAGAAGTTTTTAACCTATATTTATGTGTCTAACAAACATTGTATCATATGAGATAACTATTAATATAAATATTTTCCAACAATATTTTCAAAATTTTAATGTGTAACATCAACTTTTGTCCATCTTGCAACAATTGGTCCAAGGCATGTGATACTTTGTCTATTGACTCAATAATGAGGAAACCCTCAATTCTTATTGTTCTGACATTTTAGAAGAGTGTGTGTGCATTTCAATGCCATGGTTTTTCTTCAACTTAACAAATTTTTTCTATGGGTATTATGTTTTCTAAATTTCAATAATTTTCCTTAGTTCTTGTATTTTTTAATCAAACATCATCCGGATGCAGGAGTTGTTTGGAATGATGTGCTCCTGGTTGATGGTGTCTTAGAGGAAGCTGCTCTCTCTGACTGCACTATTGAGGTCATCCTTTGTGATTAGTTTCTAAAATTTTATTTTGAAATGTGGATGTATCCTCTCAATTACCTCTCCCCTATACTTTCTCCTTGTTTCTACTTGAAATAATCCTTTTTTTTCCTGAAAGAAATCTCCGTGACTAATATAAATTTTTCCAGGCTTCGAAGGTTACTGTCAGGCTGTATGTTAGCAGTGCGTTATCTCATCTTCTGCAAGATATATCAGGTTACTTCTATGATTATGTATGCAGTAAACTGTTAGTTCTTACTTCTTAGTTTCAGCTTAAAATTTGAAATGTTTATTCTGCTGCACAAAAACAGAACAAAAATCGGAGATCACAGACTGTATGTTTGTGAAAAAGTGACTTTTGCCAATGAAAATTATCAACGCAAATGAGACGTTATATGATCAGGGCAGGGCTCTTATCAAGATAGCTTGATGGTTATTGTATACATATGTATTAAGCTAACGGGAAATAATGTTCTGTGTAAACTGTCTTACTAAAATGAGCTACCTTCTCTTTGGTAGATTCCCTCTTAAAAGTCCTGAAAAAGGAAAAGGTGGAAGATTACTCTCTGCAAGTTGCTTTAGATACTAGCACAAGAGCAGTTCTCCAAGGCAGCACAAATGTCCTGCTGGTAAGCACATTTGTCTAAATTGGATAGGTAAATGTGGATTATATATATTTATGCATGTGCATAATGTGTTCTTGTTAAGCTTTTCCAACTATTTCTTCTTTTGCTTCATTCAGGTTTGATTTCATCATGCTTTTCATTGGTCATTGTAGGACTTCCGCAAAATTCTTGATGATAATTCTGGGCTAGTTGTTAGACTAAGAGAGGTCATTATTGATATCGTTCAAGAAGAATTGCAAGATTTTTTCAGGCAACTTGAGGACAAGTTCCTTTTATTTTCTGGAAGAAATGTTGCTTCTGCCATTCAAGTTCAGGGTGCGACAGAGGGAGCTCAAGGTGACAAAGCTATTGCTGGCCTCATCCTAGTACTGTCACAGCTTTCTGCTTTTATTGAACAAACTACCATACCAAGAATCACTGAGGCAAGGATCCTTCTGATAGAGCTATCTGATATTCCTGTATAAGCATTTATTTCTGCACTTAGTTTTCCTTCATATCCTCTGGGAATGCCTTGTGATTTTCAGGAAATAGCAGCTTCCTTTTCTGGTGGTAGTGCTAGAGGGTATGAACATGGACCTGCCTTTGTTCCTGGAGAGATTTGTCGGAAATTTAGATCAGCGGGTGAAAAATTCCTTCACCAGGTAAGTTGTCAATATCATATTCACATACCCGCTATTCCAATGTGCTTGCAACTTCGTTGAGCCTAGAGGTGAGCTTCGCTGCATCTTTTTTATCCTGCACTTCTGCTTTACCATTTTTGTTTGAGTGTTTTTGGCAAGGAGGTTCTCTTGTCCTGCGTTTTGCCTGTCCGTTTTCTTCCTCCTTTTTATAATAATATAATATACCTTATTTTAAGTTTAGAAGCACTCACATATTCTTCTTTTGATTCTTTTCAGTACATAAATATGAGAACTCAGAAGATATCACTTCTCCTGAAGAAGAGGTTTAACACACCTAACTGGGTTAAGGTCTGTTTCATGCATGTCTTCATTTCCAGTTTTATTAGACAGTGTGTAATATGACGAGAGCTTGATTTTGAAATTGGTTTTGTTCTCTGCACAGCATAAGGAGCCGAGGGAAGTTCATATGTTTGTGGATTTGTTCTTTCAAGAGGTTGGTATACCTTTTTATTCTTTAAATGGATTACTCTATAGCCTGGATGGTTCAGAGGATCGAATCATAAATTTTTTGGATAAACATGTATGTTAAACAAACAGAATGTTTTAATTTCTCTTAGTTTCTTTTCCAGGTTGAAGTAATAGGTAATGAAGTGAAGCAGATTTTGCCTCAAGGGAAGCGCAGACACCGCAGGACTGATAGTAATGGAAGTACTGCCTCATCAAGGAGCAACCCTTTGCGTGAAGAGAAACTCAGCAGGTCAAATACTCAGAGAGCGAGAAGCCAGCTTTTAGAGACACATTTAGCTAAACTGTTTAAGCAGAAGGTTGAAATATTCACCAAAGTAGAATACACACAGGTATCGAGTAATGATCAAATTGGTGATTCGAAAGTTAAAATAAGTGATCATGGACTAAGTTATCAGGTTTTTACTCAAACTGCAGGACTCCGTTGTTACAATGATAGTGAAATTGTGCCTAAAAAGTCTACAAGAATTCTCTCGACACCAGACTTTTAATCGGAGTGGATTTCAGCAAATTCAGTTGGATATTCAGTTCCTAAGGACTTCTTTAAGAGACAGAGTTGAAGACGAAGCCGCCATGGACTTCTTGCTTGATGAGGTTGGAATTATTAAAGTCATACTCATACTATGGATTTTGATTTTCTTTTTTTGATAAAAGATTTTGAATTTTAGATTGCTGTGTAGTTGCTCAAGTCAAGCTTGTCTTCTCCATGCCTTCCCCTTGAATTTGCATATTGTTTTCTTGGTTTTGGACCACAGGTGACTGTTGCTGCAGCAGAGCGATGCCTTGATCCAGTTCCTTTGGAACCCCCAATACTGGACAAACTTATACAAGCCAAGCAAAAACTAAGGAACGTGACACAGTAACTTCATGATCATTTAATGGTAATGGACTATAGAGGCGACGATCCAATTTACCTTTCATATCTGCTGCGCAGCTGATACATCCCTTCCGGAGCTATTGAGGTTGTCGAGCTAAAGAGCCGCATGTATTTGCTTCAATTTTAGCTGACATCCGTTTTCGGGATCAATTGAAGTCACCCTTCAAGCATTCAGAGTCTTGTTAATTGTCAACTCTCGTGGAAACTGGTAGTTCTTAGGCCGGATTCCTTTTAATCATGTAAATCTGTTGTAAACTCGTAATGTATAACGGGTGTCAAGGTTACGCTAATTACATGGAGAATCGGACAATACTGATGCGAATGAGTCTCAATCCCCATTATTGCAGACTATCGCTCTTGGAGAACGAAAAGAAAATAACAGAAATGTCAGAGGGCATTGAGGGAAAACAGAATGATCAGGAGGAAGATTCTTCACATGCATCACACACTTCTCCCTCGCTCTCTCCCCTACGCTCACAACCTGTATGCCCAGTAAAGCTGGTAATATTGCCTGTTCATGAGTTGCGAGCTTAGCAGTGTGGGTTAGTATAATCTACATTTTAGTAGGCTGTATTTTTGCCAACTCACAAACCTGCAATGGGTTAGCGGGCTAACCCACCAGCAAAATATAAAAATCATATTTGCCTCTTAAAAACTAATTATCTAAACAACAATAAGACTCCTAAATTATTACAAAATACGATACAAATTTAAAATACATTAATGCAATCTGCCAGTTCAAAGATTTTGATATGATGAGTTCAAAGAGATCATTCAGTGTAACATACATAAAAGCTATTGGAATTAAAAGTAGCAGTTAGATCCGAGCAATCAGATTTCGTAATCATTCTTGAGCGAGGAAAACTAGCAGCTATGATAATAACTTTCTCACAGGCCAATAACTTTGCCATGGGAGAGGTTCCAATGGGAAAAGGGGGAAAAAAGAAGAAGCTATTTCGTTCTCTTAATTTTATTTTGAAATTTTAAATGAATCCTTTTGTTTGTTTAGCAAATATTTTAAATTATCAACTTTATAAATATTGTTATGATTTTAATTAGACATATTTCCCTTTTATTACATAATTTTTAATTCATTTACAGATATTTCTACCCCTTATTAATTTGTTTTACATATTAGTACATTGAAATGTTAGATACCCAAATTTTGGTCTGAATTAAAATAAGTAATGGGATAAACTCTCGCTTGCCTCAGTAAAATTAAATTGACAAATGTAACACTCACGCGCTTATAAAAAATAAAATAAGAAATTATTTGACATGGTTAATTAATTTGTATTTTTAAATAAAATTGTAAGACAAAAATATTAATATCAATGACTTCCCCCAACTCCATGCACTATTTTTTCATTTTTTAAACTATTCTTGTACATTTGTTAGGTTTCATTTTTATTATTCTTTTAACATTTTTAATATATTTTAATATAATTTAGATATTTAAATTGTTAGTTAGCTCATTGTGAGCTCGAGTTGTGCAGTGCGAGCCAAAATTTGTTCAGATCTAAATAAGTTTCATTTTTGCCAACCCAACCCACATTTTTTTTATAGCAGGGCTAGCAGGTTGAGCCTGTTGGTTGAACCCACTTTACTAGTTCTATTACCCTTTAGCTCATGAAGTTGTCGCGCGGGTCTCTTGTGGCGTGAACTTCTATGAGAGAGTTCCCTTGTTTCAGTAGCGCTCGATACAATGACCCTCTTCGAGTGTGGCCCAATCCCTTCGACCTGCATATGGGCTTCATGATCCAAATTTATATTGGACGTGACATCAGGCTCCTATTGTATTTGTTCCATCTCAAGTATGAATATTAATGAAATGCTAGAAAAGGATATATGTTGATCAACATTAATTATCATTTCAAATTCTTAAGTGGTATCTAAAGCTATATGATGTTGGAGGTTGTTTATATTTTAAGGATAAAGTGCAATTTTGCCCTTAAGATGTGTTTGGTTTAAGGGAAGGGAAGGAGAAAGGTTTAATGTTACTTTATTTGGTTTAGGAGGGGAGGAAAGAAAAATAATTATATATCTATAATTTTACTCTCATTTTATTAGTATTGAGATATTGGATAAGTGTATTTGCATTTTTGAACTTATCGCAAAAGGCATACTGATCAATGTATAAAAAATTTTACCCCTTCCTTCTCAGTTCCCCCAATTTGGAGGGGAGGGGAGATTTTAAAAAATTTCCTCTCAAATTTTTTAAACAAAATAAGGGGTAAAATCCCTCTCCTCCCATCCCCCTAACCAAACACTCCCTTAACCTATTTGTAGAAGAGCAATGTCATCTCTAAATTATTCAACTTAACAATGTAGCTTCTAAAATAATTAAATAGGACTAATGTTACCCCTATTGTTTAAAAATCATAAATATTCATTGACTATAAAGCGAGACCCACTTTTCTAGTGCATTGGCAGCAACTACAATCCTTACTGGCTTTCATACTGTCTCTTGCAACGACGTATGGACCAACTAAATAATATCACTATGTTAGCATTCTCACTCATTTCACTCGAAATTCCTCGAGGCGTTTTCTCAACCACGAGTTTACTTTGTTTCGTGAAAACATAAGATAGCATTGACTCACAATCAAACTTGCGTTTAAAGCTCTTGCCTCGCTTAGAGTCCTTTATCCTTCTCTGCACATTGCACGCCATCACTTTGTTATCAACTCGCTATGCTCTGCATTTTCCTTCATGTGGCTTCAGATATCCTTCTAATGAGCCTTTGTGAATGATGGTGTCTCCTTTACTCTTACCTTGCCATTCAAATTATGCCACAACATCAACATCACAAGGCTGCTCTCTAGCATCATGGAAGTCACTATGATGTCCTTGCTCTTCTCGATTAGAAGCTAGGGAAGAGGAGTATAGATGTAGGTGGGCTGGTGGAAGCTTGTTTAAAGATGTTTCAACAAGTAAGGAAGCACATGATGCAGTACAACATGGAGAGGTCACAATTTAAGGCCAACAAGAGCTAGGAAAGCATCGCGAGAGCATGGTGATTTTCAATGGCCTCTGTTATGTCAAGTTTAATGGTGCATTTCATGATTGCCATCTTGATCGTGACATTCATTTATCTCGACTATTCATCACAACAAGTTCACACCAGATGCCTTGCTTCTTCTCTATTATTGGAGCGAGTTGGGACTTGGAGCATGACAGTGGCGTGAAAGGAGGAGGAGGAGGCACAAAACCATGAGGCAGCACCAATGATGGCAAGAAGAAGCATGAGAGACCTTTGAATAGAAGCGTGGCACATAAAAAAAATGACATGCAAGATCTTCAAACAACAGTGTGTTCCTAGAAAAGTGGGTATTGTTAGTTTCACTTAACGGATATTTATTTTCTTTAAACAACAGGGCAACATTGCTCAAGTTTTATTAGTTTAGGGGCTACATTAAATAATTACTACATTTGTGTTTTTAAATGATAGGGCAACATTGTTCGTCCACAAAATGTTTGAAAGTAAAATTGCACTTTAATCTTGTATTTTATACTCTTGTGGCACACGTAGAAGCGCTTGCCTTGAAATGCAATCGGTGAGTCGTTCCTCAATTGTCATGAATTTTAGACTTTTTAATGTGACTATCTAATCAAATTAGATTTGAGTATTATCGGCTTTAAACACAAAAATATTAATACTTAAAGCACTTCTAAAGCAAAAAAAAAAAACAATAGGAAAAAAGAAGAACAAAATCTATCTGACATCTCATTCTTTTAAACATTAGATTAGTTTATATCATTTTAAGAACTAGACGAATTTAAAAAGAATTAAATTATTTAAAACCAGTAAACAATGCAGTGTATTTCAAAATATGATATTTTAATTATATTTTATAATATAATGCGGTGGTATTTTATATCGTATATAATTTTATATAGGTATATTGATGACTTGGCTTTGTGTGTGTATTAACAAACCTTAATTTTAATAACAACTTAGCCCCTGATTAAAGAAATTAACGTGTATTTCAAAGGAGTTTTTAGCTTGAAAAACTATAAGAAGGAGAAGTTTGGAAGATAAAAATAAAAAATTTAAGCATTTCTCTTCGATTTCATTAATAAGAAGAGGGGAGAGGACATCTTGATCTCCCTTTCTCCTTACGATGGGCCATTTCCCAGCGAATCATCTGCGTCCGCCCTGGCCCTGCTCCTTTCCCGCCAAAAGTCACTACATTGTTTGTCATTTGGCGCCAAAATCCCTCAAATCTAAATCTCGTTCGCACTCTAGTTTGCTAGTGCCGATTCAGACATTTTCAGCCTGACAGTTAAGCTGCTGTCCTATCCTTGCCGAGCTGAACCATGAAGGACCTGGACTTCAACGCGGACATTGGTGAGACCTTCCTTGCCCTTACTCGTCGCTGCGACTCGTTGATTTTATTTTATTTTTTAATTTTTTTATTCACTCCAGTTAAATGGATTCGTTCTTTCCCTCTATAGCTCTGGCGAAGGAGTTTCTTTCGACCTTCGCAGATGCAAACGGTGAAGCCAAATACATGAACATTTTGGTCAGTGCTTTGTTTTGATTAAACTTATATTTCTTCCCTTCCTTATTTTCTGAACTCACGAGTTGGAAACCCAATTCGTCTCTGGGACCCGGAAAATCCTTGATTTTCTACCTCTTTAACGGAATAGAGAAAGGAGAATGATAGTTAACCCTAATTCGCCGTTTTCCCGTTTCAGCAAGACGTTGCTAACCACAAAACTCGAGCTGTTCAAATTGATATTGGAGACTTGATCAATGTAACTCTCCCTCCCCCTCCTTAAAAATTTACTTGTCATTTTGTATGAGGTGGGTCTGTTCCGCCATTATTGTCGATTGTACTCACATATAATCGCCCTGTTATTTTTTCTGGGACTTCAGTATAAAGATCTAGACGAAGAATTTCTCAGACGTGTGACTGAAAATACTCGGAGGTACATTGGAATTTTTGCCGATGCCATTGATGGCCTTATGCCAGAGCCTACTGAAGCCTTTACGGATGATGATCATGATATATTGATGACACAAAGATCTGACGAAGGAGCGGAAGGTGCTGATGGTTCAGATCCTCTTCAAAAGATGCCACCTGAGATCAAGCGGTACTTGTAAGTTTGACTAAAAGCCCTTTTATCCTATTCACATAGAATCTATAATGATTATGTTGATAATTGTACAAAATTCATGTGCTTTCAGGACATTTACATGAGCGTAAATTGGTAATCTGATAATTATTCTTTAATCATTTCTACCATTTTATTTCTCTTGAATGGTAATCTCTTGCTGGAATTCCTGTTTCTTTAACTCGATAGTCATTGATAATTGTGAAAATAT